TGGATATTCCAATGGAACACTTTTAGAATACTAAAGTATTATTAAATAAATGACAGTGTTTGTCTGCAACAGATGTTATGGCAGTGAAATATATCCTTTTTCACAATGTGGAAATTGGATATTGAAATAAACCCGCACAGGCAGTAACTTATTCAATTTAAATCACACCTAAATTTTATATTTTCTATAGATGAAATTGGCATGAGGTATAAATGCAACTTAGGAATGGGATTAGCTCTGTGGTCATTTCTATTTAATAAATTCTTTGAGCACCACTATCATGCTGATTTCCTCAGGTTATTAACCTAATATTTAAAAAAAAATTGTCACCCAGTTCACTGTTATTTAACAATACTTCAGTACTGGAGAACATTGAAAAAGGACTTGTGTTCTACAATAAGTCAATTATCAATTCATGTGCGTCGTTTAAGTTTCATATATAAACAGCAGGTGCTCAGATTTATTCATTTCTGTCCAACTTAATACCTGAACAAGACGGAAGGAGAAAAGTAGTGGAATATTACACAATGGAAACATCTGTTAACAGTTACTTTTGATCTGCTGTATGCATGTACAACATACGCAGATGGTCACTTAGATGTTACTAAAACATTATTTAATATGTTCATTAAATGTGCAATCTGATCCCAAAACTATAGTAACCTTAACACTTAATTTTTCTAATCTTCTAGTTATTGTTTGCGGAAACTGAAGTGATAATTTGGTAAGCTGGAGTTGACAGATGTGCTTTAAACTCTATTATTATGAGTCGTGTAGCTCAGTGATTAGAGCACTTGCCTCGCAAGCGAGAGACCTGGGTTTGATTCCCGGCAGGGCGAACTCTTGGGCAAGTTTCCTTAATCCACACACCTGATAATAATCCCTCAAAAAAAAAACAATAATAAATTGGTCACTTCAATTCACGACTGTTTGCGGGACACTGCTGTGCGTGATTGGCTGCTGTGTTTCGCCCACAAATATACAGTCAATTCACTTTACAGTATATTCTGTGAAGCGCTTTGAGATGTCTAGAAGAGGTGAAAAGCACTATATCAAATGCAAGGATTATTATTATTATTTTATTTATTTATTTTACCTTGATATATAACCATTATAGAACTTCTTCCATGTATGGGGTCATTGCATACAGAATTTTCTAGTCATGATAACATCAGTTCTTTGTTTTGATTATGCTCTATATACCACTACATCCTTGCAATGCTTTTTTTTTTGGCTAATAAAAAAATAGCAAAAGGTGCTGCTTCTTTAAGACATTGCGACTTCACAAGACTTTGGCCATTTGATTCCTCCCAGTTCCATATGTAAGGAAAGTAATACCCGCCCACACACACCAGTTCCTATTTCCCACTTTGCAGCTGAGAAGACTTAGCCTTATGGCATTTGAGTTTTTAAAATTTTCTGTGTTTAGTTATAGATTTCAATCCTAGCTATCTTACATAGTCTCTGACTACTTGGTTTGTATTCTCTTTTCCAACTTGGTTTGCCCCAATCTCTTCTCGTAATCTCTTTGTCATTGAATTCCCCTAAAATTAGAACTGCTTGTATCTATCCAAGCAGCTTCTCCATCTGACTGTTCACCTGATGTTGGTGCTCTCTCTCTCTCTCTCTCTATGTACGTGGTGGTTGCAATAATTAATCTTTTCACTATTGTTGGTTTCTGCACACCATAATTACTTTATATAACCCCAAACTTTCACAGTAAATTCTGTTAGCTAGACTGTTAGCTCGACTATGTATGCTGTCAAGCACACTGACATTTGACAACTATCCTTTATCGAAGTAATTAATATTGATAGCAGGTTCATGCTTCCTATAGCAGAATGATACAACTTAAATATGAAACCTTGTTTCTTCAATTGAGATACTCCTTCAAGCAATCTGACTAGTTCTAGAAAATAAATGAATTCAGCTCTGCAAATATCCAGGAATTGTAACAGTTCAAATAAGCTATTAGCCTGAATTACTCTCTAATGCATTTTCATTTCACTTGCAATATTAGTTCTGATAGCCATTTCAAAGATTTCTTTTCTGTTGTTTACTTGCGAGACTAGAGGAAGAAGTCCTTCTTTGTCTTGTTTATATCATTTCCGTTGTCATTGTTTGTACAGATCTGAATCTGTTAATCTGTCTGAGTACAGTCGGTTCTATATTCTCACTCAAATCAGACTGCTGAGATCTCCTTGTATATATTTGTGGAAAATTAGTTCACTTAGCAGGACCATAGAGCTGCAAGAACTCTTTGAATGCAGAATAAGGTGAATTGGGTTAACAAACATTCCCAGACAATGCACACTCCACTCTTTTCTATTTTTTTCTCTCCCTACACGCCACCCCCCCAACACCGAACCATGGGAATCTCTAAATCAAGATTATCCTGCTTATCAAATTATCAAAACAATATTTTACCGTAACATTGCTTATTTCCTTTGCTAGGACGATGTTCAAATCTGTGTGATTTGAAATCTTAATTAGCTGCAGACATTTTTCTGTATTTTGGAAGGACAAGAATATTTTAGTATATGCTAACTGAATAAAGTCACTACATTTATTTATATGTAGAAATACGTCAAGTCTAGTGCAGAATTTAAATTGTATTGCAAATTATTCCCTTTGGGTTGGCTTCCCGTTTACTTAGATGCTCCGATACAATGTGAACTGAGTTGAAACTTTGTGCAATATAAAAGGAGTGCATGGCAAGAAATTATATTGCATTTAAAATTGAACAAATACAATTAGAGGATTAATACTTGAAATCCTGCATTCATATGATAGATGAGGGACTGCGGTTTTAAATTAGATTAGTTGTTTCTGAAGAGTCTCCACGTAAATTAACTTAATGCACTGTGTTTTCAACTCCTGTTGCATTGTGTGCCAAAGTGCCACGTGGGATGACCTTACCGTCAACTTGAGCCATGCTGGAGACTACCCCTGCTGGTGATGTGGAATAGCTCAAACAATGCCACTTTCAGCAATGCAGTGAAGTGAATGACTATTTTGTTTGATTTTCAAAAGAATAAAATGGATTTTGGCACCTCAGTCTATGCATTTCAGAGAATCGGTGGTTTCCCAGTAACTCAAAGGATGAGAACTTTAAAGAATGGAGCAATGGCTTTTGAGCATGTTGTAAATTTCTTAACCTAATCATATTAAAGTTGGCTACAGTGGCCACTGTTTTCCTGCCATTATATTGGCAGCTTTTTCATCTTTGCTGATTGATAACTTGGGTTTTGTGGTTTAGCCAAGCATTATATTATGTAAAGTTAATTAGAAATGTTAGGGCTTTTGTTCAGTGTTAAATAGGGCAACATGGCCATGAGAACTATCTGGCATGCCAATGTTTCCAGGTAATCAAAATAAAGCATACAAATACATTTCAGGCTTGACATCTTGTTACAAGAATCAAAGCCATAGCTACAATGTTGTATGCCAGATTTCACTGAAATCAGTATCCCCAACATAGTGCTGTGAGGTTAACAGGTTTTAAAATTTTGCAAGTCTTTTCTAGTGGTTTCTTTAAAAAAAAGTACTTAATATGTGTGTATAAAAAAAAAGAGCTTTGGAAATGTGTTTTGGTTTGATGTGATCAGTTTCTTAGTTCAGGCAGCTTTAGTGTTGCAAATGGATTTCTTATAATCTCAGTGGACATCGTTCCCAAACCTAGCCACAAACAGATTAATATCAGTCAGATTTCCTCAGTCGTATTTGATTCTCCTGAAGATCTGAAGCAAAATGTTTTCAAATCATGTCTATGGAGAACAGTTTTTTGCAGACACCGGGGAAGTTATAATAATAATCCTTACATTTGATAGAGCGCCTTTCATGTAGGGAGGAAGTCTTGAAGTGCTTTACAGAATATGCTGTAATTGTGTTTTGTGCATGAACGAAGCATCTAATTTGTACACAGCAGTGTCCTGCATACAGCAATGAAGTAAACGACCAACTTTATTTGGGGGAATTGTTGGCAAGGATACTAATAGAAACTCCCTTGTCTTGAAGGGAGTGAAGTTTGAAGTGAACTTCTTGAAAATTATGAAATACAAACCAGTTCTATTCATGCATATGCTGTAGTATAGTGAAATATAAAACCATCAGAGATGTGTCAGAATAGGCAAATATAAGAGGAAATCTGCATTTGAAAATAGTTGAGGATTTAAGTGTCCCTAACAAGAAAAACAAACTATAATTATCCACGAGCACGTAATGTGAAAAGCCTGTTTGTAATTGAAGTAGGCAGTTTTTTTAAAAAAAAACTCCAGTTCAGAGAAGGGGCAATCAGTGTGTTTGAGTTGCTTCGGAATAATTCTCTTCATAAATAATACACAGAGAAATACTCACTAATATGACACTTCCTAATTACATCAACAATTGAATACAAAATAATTGCTATGTTTGCCTACAAATAGTGGCTGCATTTGCAGCAATTACCTATTAAGATCTTTGTAACATTTTGTCCTCTTAAGCAGGTGAGTATATTCTTACGCAGCACTTCAGACTTGCCTCCAAATCAGGTCATGCGTGTTTTTCACTCAAATTTTCTGTATTACTTTGAAGTAATTGAGGGTGAATGAATGAATAAGAAATGCTACCATTAGTGTAGTCTTCATCATTCTTTGAATGCAGATTGTCTTCATATTACATTTTCCAGTCATTCTATCCTTTAGTTCCCTTCTCTGACCTGGAAGAATTGGAGTTTAGTATTTTTCTGCATGTTTCCTGCATCATTGAATCAACTGACTCTTTCTGCTGCCAACTTCTTTCCATTGATTGGATTAAGCTTTTTCATTTTGTGTATGGAGCTTGAACTACAGTAAATAACTGAGGAAAACAACATCAAAAGTAAACGGTTTAACATTGCATCCTCTAATCACAGAATAACATTTTGATTGAGTGCAATTGCACACTTGACATGTCATAACTGATTTGGAAGAGTTTTTAGTACAATTTGAAGTATTATAATAAATTGATACCTTCTTTTACAGCTGAAGATATCTTTTACCCTGAATAAAGAGACAGCAATGCCTCAAGGATGCTACGTCTATCAATACAAAGACAGCAATAAGTAAGTTCATTCAACTAAGTATTTCCAGTAGCTTTTTTTCATCTTCAATCATATGTGCTGGAAAAAATAACAAATAAAATATTACCCTGAGTGAGACAAACATGCAAAATGAATTTCACATTTGTACATTGATTCTAGGTGATTGAGAGCTATTTGAATTGTTATTTAGTTGGTTGGGACATCCTCCTGACGTGAAAGGCGCTATACAAATATAATCTTGTTGTTGTTGTTGGTAGGGTAATATTAACTGCCTGCTATTCAATTTTGAATCTCATCAGAGATATTGGAATCTGCTAACAAGTTCAGTTTATTCTTGAGCACATTTGCTTAGAAGCTTAAAGAATACCTGCTAGTGGAGAATACTACATTAGAGAATGTAGTTCATGCTGTGGCTGATGTACGTCTATGAGTCAAGCTATGCAGTGAACTGGTAAAAGGAAGTCACTGCATATCATTATTATTGATGTGTCACCTCAAGGTCAAAGTTGATTTCAGTATGACAAAAAACATTATTTTGCCTCTCTTTTATTTTAAAGAGGTTAGGTTCAGAGGGGAGGTTGAGGGGAAGATTTAGTGCCCAATCCAAGGATTGAGTGTGAGTCTAGCATACTTTTGTTTGGGGAAACGAAATCCCATGTATTACATGCCCAGTTTGCCAGAAGGATCAAATTGTAAATGTCACATTGAGTTTCATGCTGAGAGATCCATGTAAAGGCACCAAATTACTCTCATAATGAAGTGTAACCCAGAACATATTTGCAGATTTTGAGAAGTAAGTTAGTTCAATCTACACATGGAATGTGTATAAGCTGCCCTGAAGAAGGGCGCTATATAAATGCAAGATGTTGTTGTGTTTGTGCTGGTTAAAATAGTTTCACAATTGTACCAACAATGCTTGCAATCCCATTTTGGTTCTCATTATTTACCTGAATTTATTTATCACTTTCCTCTTAATCGGAGAATTCTTCTTTTATTTACAAATATGAAGCAGAAGGTAGAATGCAAAGCATTTGTTTCCGTATTTTCTCTTTGACCGTACCTTCAGCTCTCCTCTCGACTCTCTACCCCTTCCTCGCTCCCTCCCTTCCCTCCCCTCACCCTGACCATTTCCCCCCTGCTCGGGTCCTGACCCAACTGTCCAGCGCCTTGGGACATCCTCCTGACGTGAAAGGCGCTCTATAAATGGAATCTTGTTGTTGTTGTTGTTTCCAAAACTAAACTTGTCTTTGTTGATTTCCCTCTGGTTTTGAGCCAATTAAACTATTGGGCAAATTATTTGTATGTGTCTGTCAGATCAAGAAAAGTATGGGAAGTATTTAGAATAGAACGAGACGATCAAACATGGAATCAAATGTGGTTTGCAGAATTTAATACTGCTACTACTTTAACTGAGCCAAGTACACATTATATAAATGTTTATGTGGATAATGTGAATGTAATGTAGTGTGACTGTCGAACCCAAATGGTTATTCTACTTAAAAGTGACAGCGGAGAAATTTTCCCTTTAATTATTGTTGATTTACTCTGCTCAACATATTCTGGCCAGCTTCACGTCCCACGCCCTACAGTCACTCCATCGGCGGTCGGGCCTTCAGTCTTTCTGCCAACACCCTTTGGCCTCCATCCCACAGTCTTCGCCTCGCCCCCTCACTTGCCTACTTAAAGGCCTGTCTCAAGATCTTCCTCTTCGACTTTAGGCATCCTCCTACCCCCACCCTCCCTGCCCTCCTCTCCTGATCCCAACCTCCAGCTTGGGTGCAAATCCTTGACTGTCTAGCAGCGCCTTGGGACGTCCCCCAGACGTGATAGGTGCTATATAAATAATTTGTTGTTTTTGGAGTATGAAAATCTGGGATTCTGAAAAGAAAAACACTTCTTCCAGAGTCCATAATGTTTTCTAATCAAATATGGCACATTCCTTTATCACCTAAATTGGTAGTTAAGCAATTTTGTGTAATTTGCTTTTGGGTTTGAAGATCGAAGCATTACCACAAAATAGAAACCTTTCCGTGGACCGCAGAGTTGATTATCTGTGGTCAGCTAATTTTCTCTTCAACAGACTGAAATGTCATTGTATGGTAAAACAGTCTATCTCCACATGAGCACAAATAGAATCTTAAATACAATTACTTTTGTAATGAGCAAGTCCACAGTAGCCTTTGACACTTCATTAGATTGTTTGAAGGTAGGAATATTCAGAAAGCATTCACCTACAATAAATCTGTTTACAATAAATCCTATGAAGAGCTTTGAGACATGCTCCTGACCTAAAAGGTGCACTATCAAATGTAACTGTTATTAGTATAAACTAAGTGAGTGAAGCTCAAACAGCTTATAGTTATCTGAAACTCATTATTGAAAACTGTTAAAAGCAATTTGCGGGTATCTGGAAAGCTCCTTTCCGGAGTATCTTTATTGTGATTTTCCTTACAATTTCCTTTTTAAAATTGATATCACCATAAGAGAGAGTAATAGAAATGTTCTGAGCTTGGACATATAAGACATGGCTTTAGAAGGGTTAGTTCTTTCCTAAGAAATTTTAAAGAGGAAGTGACATGCCCAAATGATCACTCAATCTGATTTAAGCGTATTCTGTAAAGTGTTTTGAGACGAGTCGAAGACGAGATAAGGCGCTATATCAAATGCAAGGATTATTATTATATTGACAATGGGAAGCTATATGACCATGAACTTAGATTTCCAAAAGAGCATTGGGATGTGACTCGAGATTCCTTTGCAGACTGTCAGTGACATGTAATAGTGAGACATGAACATTGATAAATGGAAGGAAGCAGAGAGCAGTCACAAGAGGAGCTACACTGAAGCGGAGTGTTATTAAGTAGAATCCCACAGAAGCTTGTGGGGGATTTCATCCCCATCCACATTTATATAAATGACCTAAATTCACAGTTCTGTTAAATATGCAAATGGGGTCAAGCAAGTTTAAAAGTGTGGAATCAACATAGTTGGCAAAGATTTTGCAATGGAATTCAATAGGTATGCACCATTCAAAATGAAGTTTAACACAGCCAAATGCAAGCCTGAAAACATTTGAATTTTTTTTTAAGAAAAGGTGCGTGTATATAGAGAGGATAGAACTTCCCAAGGACCACCTAAAGATGCCAGTTAACCTATTGCTGAACATCTCCAAGCCGTGTGAGGTGATATCAACAAAACAAACAAGATACTGACAGCACTCCCAACTCAATTAAGTTCAAATCACAAGATATCATGTAGACGAAACGTGGCAGGCAATTGGGCATAGCAGTGTTCCTTAAACAGCCATAGAGTGAGTGACCAATTTTATTTGAGGGATTGTTGGCCAGTACACCGAGAGAAAGAATCTCTCTTTTTGAATAGTTCCCTGAGATCTTTAAAGTCAATTATCTGAAGGACGGCACCTCTGGCAATGCAACCCTTCCCCAGCACCCACCTCATTCGAGAATCGTTTAGACTGTGTGATTCCAAGTCCTGACTTGAGGCGAGAGTGCTACCCACTGCGCCAGGCTGACACACATATATATGCATCCATAATATATATTTATAGTTTTTTTCTAAAAATAAAAATTATCATTCTGAATTTCCTTGTTGCACCTGATGAACAGATGTGGAGTAAACCTTGTGGATTAAAGTTATAACTTTTACAAAGATGTGGCTTATAGGTTTTTTTAAAGAGTATCTAGATTTTCCTAGTGTCATAAACCACACGATTTGCGTAGGCTAAAAGTTAAATTTCTGATGTGGGAAATACCTGACTTGGAGCACTGGTTTCTGAAATGAGATCATGATAAATTATGCAGATCAATCAAATTGTGACAAAAAAGTTGGCATGAATAGAAGATTATTTAAGCCATCGATCTTTTATACTTGTCTCCCAGTAAATTTATTGGAAAATGTTACATTTGAAGTCGAAACAACATATGTATAAATTGTAATGCCAGCAAGTGCAGGATGAAAGAGAAATTGTCATTTTTGTCTGCATAAAGCATGAATAGACTCTTCTTAGAATTTTCAAGCAGGAGACGTCTAACTGGTTCCGTGCATTAGGGCACTAGCTGTTACTCTGAAGGTTGTCATGGGCTTCTTGCTTATCCAGTCTAGTTAATGGATTCTTTACACTTCATTTGTGCTCAATGTTTCTTTGAAGTCTCATTATGAGACAAAAGGTCACTTTTTGCATTTTTTTTATTAGGAGTGTTTATGCAACATTTTCAGTGGCAACAAAGAGTAGGGGACACATTTTAATATAAACAGTGGGGAAGACGTGCTGTGAATTTCAAAATGGTTAATCAACGGCAAAACTCGCATAACAAAGTGCGAATGTAAGTTCCATGTGGGATATTGCTTGTTGACGATTTTTTAAAGTGTAGTCAATGTTAAGTTCACTTAATGTTCCCGAGCAGGTCTTTTCCTTGTATAAACTATCTACAGCCACGTTTTGTGGGAACATATCTTAACCAGACATGGTTCTGTCTTGCAGACTTGCTAATGAAGGTACTGATGCGAACAAAAACATTTTTTGTCTCAACAAATATTTTGAGAAACAAATGACAGGTAGTTAAGAAAATGATTGGTTTTGGAATCTTAATAGACAGGATGCGAACAAGGGGAGAACTCTGCTGGCTTGTTTTTCTTTGAGGGGTGACAGAATATACACAACTTTAAATAAATATTTGGAATTATCTGCCAACAGGAGTAGATAGCATCATTCATGGATTTTAAGAGCATTTTGATCTATCAATTAACACCTCCAGTGGAGTAGTGATCAATGTAGCAAGCAGTTAGTATATTTTAAATTTGACCTGAATGTAGTTAAATCAATGTTTCTGCCCTTTAGGAGCTGATATTTCTAGATCGAAAATATTTACCTGCTGTGTAGTTCTTAGGAGCCTACAATTCATCACTAGAAACTCAAAACTGCAAAGATTGATTTCACATATGGATCCTTAATGCAATATTCCTAAGCTTCTTATTATGTTTTCAATGGGTGTACAGCATAA